TGCCCCCGTCGCGCAGGCTCAAGTCCACCCCCCGCCCCAAGTTCTCCGTGTGTGTCCTGGGGGACCAGCAGCACTGCGACGAGGCCAAGGCTGTGGACATCCCGCACATGGACATCGAGGCGCTGAAGAAGCTCAACAAGAACAAGAAGCTGGTGAAGAAGCTGGGTGAGCGCGGCGTGGCTTTCGGGGGTGGCGGGAGAGCGACCTCCGGGGGCTGCGGAAGGAGAGCGAGCCGGGCCTGGTGGGCGAGATTCCGCTAAGCTGAGGCTGGGGCCGGAGAGCGGTGAGCTGCGGTTTCTTTCCCCCCCGAGGTCTGACTGAGTAGTCCGATCCTCATCCCGTGTGGTCTAGACAGCGGCGTCGGCCCCACTTCACAGACAGGAGACTGACGTCCACAGCTGTCAGATGAGCAAGGTCTGCAGCTAGGGAGTGAGCCCAGGTAGTCTTGAGCAGAGCCTTCATCCTACCCCGGATGTGCTAGGCATTATGTGGGTCAACTGGGTCTTCTGAGACTAGTAAAAGTTGTTAGCTCCTGGTGGCGAGGGAGGCAAGAACGTGGTACCTGAAGCCGGAGCAGAGAGGGTGCTGGTTGGAGGCACTGAGGTGGGTGGCTCAGGTGCTTTTCTGGCCTGACTGCTGCGTTGGGAGGTTGGCCTCAGTCGCCAGTCCTAAGCATCCAATGACTTTCTCTCCGCCAGCCAAGAAGTATGATGCCTTTTTGGCCTCAGAGTCTCTGATAAAGCAGATCCCACGAATCCTTGGCCCAGGCCTCAATAAGGCTGGCAAGTTCCCGTCCCTCCTGACACACAATGAAAACATGGTGGCCAAAGTGGATGAGGTGAAGTCCACAATCAAGTTCCAGATGAAGAAGGTAAGACGGGCGGGGCTGGTGGGGTCCAAGTTCTTCCAAAACAAGGGACCAATAGGCACCCTGGTCTGTGTTTCTGTGGTTCTTAATGTGAATTGAGAGGGGCACTGAGCCAGGAGGGAAGGTTTTTTGGATGGCCCTGGTCCTCCTTGGTCTGGATTCAGTTTACCCACTAGTTAGGTTACTGAGGGCAGAGGGCCATCTACCAGCCTGACTTGACCCTTTCTTTCCCTCCTCGCAGGTGTTGTGTCTGGCTGTGGCTGTTGGCCACGTGAAGATGACAGATGATGAGCTTGTGTATAACATCCACCTGGCTGTCAACTTCTTGGTGTCGTTGCTCAAGAAGAACTGGCAGAACGTTCGGGCATTATACATCAAGAGTACCATGGGCAAGCCCCAGCGTCTATATTAAAGCACATCCTAATAAATCTTACCACTGTGCCCTCTGCTTGTGATTGTGGGGGTGTTTCGTATGCTTTCTGTCACATGAACAGTAATTGGGTACTATAGGCAAAGGGGGCATTCTTTTCTTCTGCCATCAGGATCATGTAGTCTTGGACACACAAAGATTTTCAGATAATCCTGAAGACGGGAGCAAAGCAGCTAGGACTCTGGGCTGCACTGCTTCTGCTTGATGGGTGCAGGATCTTCACAGTGAAGATGTTGATCGCAGCCCTTGGCAGCCTTAGCCTGAAGCTGCTCCTGTGTGTATCAAGGGTCTTTAAGATAGAGTTGGTAGCCCTAATGAAACATTTGGGGATCCCAGTATATGGGAATTACAAGGAAAGGTCTTACAAAAAGACAAGATTACTGTATGTTTCTGACAGGATTGTCCCACACATTTAGAAATCAGTAGGGCTTTAGAACTTTTTTTGCCTGACCCCTAAGTTCAATATTGTATGTTAGGGTAATTGGATAAATGTTCAGAAGAGTGTGGACGCCAGAATAGCACAGTTCCAATGAATGGATCCTGGTTTTTTATATTAGGGGAACCAGCAATGGGTAAAGTCGGGCTGTGAAATGTCCAGGCTCAGTCCCCTCCCTGGCCTCCTGAAGCATTTCTCTTGCTTCCAACACCCAGTGCTAAAAAGGTAGTTTTCAGTGCGGGAAATAACCTGAGGTTTTAACCTTTGACTGGAATCTGCTTCATTTACCTTGGGTAAATGGAGAAACCAGCCCATCCCTTTGAGTAGGGTCTCACTTTGTCTCCAGGCTGGAGTACAGTAGCACAACCATGGCTTGCCACAACCTTGAACTGGATTCAGAAGATCCTCCTGCCTCAGCCTCCTGAGTAACTGGGAATGTAGGAATGTGCTGGAACATCAGCTGATTTGTAAATTTTTTTGGTAGAACGTCTTGCTATTCTGCACTGGCTGGTCTTAAGCTCTTGGACTGAAGCAGAGCCCTCCCAAGCTGATGTTATAGATTTGAGCCATCGTGCTCTCTTTCCTAATAGAACTGAAAGGCTATTCCAAAGCACAAAATTGGGCTTCAAAACACTCCCTTTATCCACGCTTGAACTGTGAAGAGGTTTCCATCTGAGACTTAAAAGCAGTTTTGCCATTTTAGTTTTTAAGTTACATTTTCCAGGTAAGTACAAAAATGTAGCGGGAATGAGCATCTTGATTTTGGTTCCCAGGCTGGGCTCACTGCTCCTTTCTGTCTATGGACCTTCGTATTAGAAGGCAGCCAGTACCTAGTTTTGTAGAACAGTGTTCTTAGCAAGGAAAGCTAGGAAAGGACTGGCTGTAGAACTAGTTTAGACCCACTTCTATTAGAAACTTCTACCGTGATTAACTGGGAGTTAAAATAAGGCAAAAGTGGCTGGGTGTAGTATGACTTGTAATCTCAGCTTTTTGGGAGGCTAAGGCAGGAGGACTGCTTGAGCCCAGGAATCCGAGGCAACATAGCAAGATCCCTATGTCTTACAAATGCACAGAAGAGAAGCTGTGAAGACTCAAGTCACGCAGTAGATGACATGAGTAGAGGCTGCCAAATCCAGCAGCGATGTCCAGCTCTAAGCCTGGCAACATAACAGGTCCAACAAGTGACGGTTGGGGTCCCTACTGGTATACCAGGCAACAGCTTGGAGTTAGGCAGACTGAGTCCTGGTGTGTCAACTGGCTGGGTGCATTTAACCTCTAACCTCATTCTATTTGGAGGCTGAACCAGAATCTAAGTTAGGTTCTAGAGGACTGCCAGACATCACAGGTACCTGCTTATCTGACATTTAACTGGGTGACTGTTATTTAACCCTCCTAGGGTCTCGTTCCCAGCATGCCACTCTCAGAGCAAATGCTCGTCAGCCCATGACTAGTGAGGAGTCTAGCAAATTCACCCATGTTTGCAGGGGAGAAGGCAGCCCCCTGGGGATGGTGTCCACCAAAGGTCTTCAGGAGCTACAGCACCTTGCTGGCCCCGACTGGTCCCTACTGTGAGCAGGACATGGCTCAGCTGAGTGGGGTTCCCCAGGCAGGCTGGAATCTTGCCTGCCTGCTGGGCAGCCATCTCCTGGGGAGAGCACGTACCCTCCTGGAGGCTCTGTGTCACGAGAAGCCGTGGCGGCCCTGGGGCCTCTGCTGCCTTCGCAGGGACAAATCAGGCCAGCACTGGGCATGCACAAGTGCTCAACTCAGGCAGGAAGGAGTGAAAAAATGCTGGGAGTTGGCAAAGTTATTTTGAGTGGAGGCAGGGCTTGGGAGGTGGCAGGGGTGGGGGGCAAGGAGACACCAGGACCTTGGGAGGAGCACCCCACCGAAGGCTTTCAATCCGAAGGCCTGCCACACGCCTGGTTACACGACTGACCCACAGACAAATAACTTTAATTCTTTTTCTTTTGAGCAGGAGCTGAGCCTCGAGAGCCCCTGCCCCAGCCCCGCCGCATTTATGATATGACCCGTCACAGCTAGATTTTAAAAATACACAAAAATATATATAATATACATTATAAAACCTAGGTGGGGTTTGGAGGTGGCCTGAGCGATATGCGAACGGTGAGGACCTTCTGGAAGCTGGGGTGGGGGCGGGGAAGGGCAGGGGCACAGTACTTCATGTGAACTCATAAATACCCAGAGGCAGCCCTCTGCCTGCCGGGGGTGTCCAAGGGGCAGCAGGGCAAGGGTCGCCTTCAGCCCCAGAGCCGGGTCTGGGAGCTGCTGCTCCAGGGCGGGAGACAGGTGAGAAGGACACACCCAAGTCTCAGGCAGGAGAAAACGTCAAGCCTCCTGCTGGCCCCCTCCGGTCTCTGTCTGCTCAGAGCCTGGGACTCCACCTTCCTCTGCCTGGCCCGCAATCCTATTTCTGAGCCTGAGCCTGCGCCTGCCTCTCGAAGGTGCTGGGAGGCTCGGGAGCCCCGGCGGCTGTGGGCCCCTCTACTGCCCAGTCCAGGGAATGCTCTGTCCAGGCTCCAACTCAGCGCCCCGCAAGGAGGCTCCAGTCTTCACTTCAGTGCAGAGTCCCTCCAGCACCTGGGGCCACTCCCTGCCCAGGGAGGTAGTGCAGACCTGGGCTCAGGCCAGGCAGCCCTGGCTGAGACTCCGGCTCTGCCCACCCCTCCCGTGGGTCCCGCAACTTCTCAGAGTGCAGCACTTCATCCAAAACACAGAGCCCCATGCCTGCTTTGCAGGGTCTGAGGACAGCACCAGCCCTGCAAGGAGCCTCAGCACCCGGCCTGGCACACAGGAGATGCAGAGAAGTGGGCTCTTCTCAACCCAAGCCGAAGTGACACTCCCCCTTCTGGGCCTCTGCACGCAGACGCCCTCTGTCTCCACTCTACCCTCACCTGCCCGCCATACTCCCCGGGGGGACAGTGGCCACACATGCCTGAACTCAGGTGCTCTCTGTCCCCGCTGGGCCCTCTGAGGTCACTTGAGTCTGGGCAGGGCCTGGTGACCTCGGTCAGCGCCCCCACCAAGCCCTCCTCTCTCTCTTCTCCCAGGTAAAGCGCATAACAGTGCGGGGAGTGTGTGTGCTGGGGCGGGTGGGGAGGCCTCCTGGGTCCTGGGCCTGAGGCCCCGCAGGCGGACGAATCCTCCTTCCTGGACCCCCGGGGGTGCCAGGCAGGTGTGCAGGAAGATGCCCATCCTGCATCCTTGTGCGGGGTCAGAGGGCACCTAGTCTTTGACGAGCTTGTAGACGTGGTGCTGGGCGCCGTGCTCGCTGGTCGAGACTTCGAAGACAAAAGCAATGACAAGCAGGGTCTCCTGGGAGTCCCGGCTCGTGACCACCTGGGGGCGAGGGGGCAGGAAGATGGGGGGCGTCAGGCAGAGCGGGGCATGGCGGGGACAGAGCAGACCCTTCTCGCGGCCAGGC